GCTCCCTTCCTATTCCGCCATCTTGCCTCCTCCAATCTCCTGTTATTTCACCCCCCACCCCCCGTAAGTCAGGTTTTTCTGCTAGGCTGAGGGCTGGTGCAGACCTGAGGTCGCCCTGCTTATGACGTATGTCCAAAATGGTGCCTGCTCTTTGTCTTGCTTGCCTTTGAGAGGTGAGCAGAGAGAGAAACTCAATTCCATATTGGTCACTTTTTTTTTTTCCCTCTCTCTTCTAGTTAGCCTGGTGAACTTTTCCCCATGGGGTTTCAAGCCTTGTTCCCTCTAGTCTCCTCTTTCCGCTTGCCTGCCAGTGTCTTGGGCTACTGAGGTTCGGCTCACCTCATGTTCCAGCGCTGGTGTGTTGATTCTGCCGCTGTTGTCCTGAACTGTGGGCTCCCACGCTCTACACGCAGGTCCACTGTGAATCACTAGTTCTGGAAGAGTTTTTTCTGCTGTTTCTTCCCTTACTCTTCCTTGAACCTGCAGTATCTCCACTTTTATTAAACTGTCTCTTCCCGGACTATCAGTGTGCTCCCTTCCTATTCTGCCATCTCGCTGCTCTCGAGTTGTTGGGTTTCTGATGAAAATTCAATCATGAGTCTAATTGGAGATCCTCTGAATGTAATCTTGCATTTCTCTCCTACACATTTTAGAATCTGTTCTTCATGTTTTATTGTGGAAAGTTTGATTACAATGTTGTCATGGTGAAGATCCTTTCTGGTCATATCTTTTATGAGTTCTGTGTGCTTCCTGTACTTGTATGTCGCATTCTTTCTCCAAATTGTGGAAGTTTTTTGTAATTATTTCACTAAAAATCTTCTTAGTCCATCCTCTCTTTCTACACCTTCAGGAACACTTAAAACTTATGTTAGATCATTTGATAGTATCGCATGAATCTCCAATACTTTTTAATTTTTCTAATTTCTACTTTTTTTGGTCTGATTGTCTAATTTCCAGAGATTTTCTTCTAACTCAGATATTCTTTCTTCTCTCTCATTGAGTCTGCTGTTAAGTCTTTCCATTACATTTTTATTTGATCTATTGAATTCTTCATTTCCAATATTCTATTCTGATTTCTCTTTAAAATCTCAATTTTGTGGGAGATTCATATTTATGTATGGATTTCTTTTATTTGTGGTTTTCCTTGATTTTGAGTAATTAATCTTTGAGTATTATTTCCACAATTTCATCATTCTCTTCATCTTCACATTCTCATATTGAAGTGTTTCTGTGCTCCTTTGTGGAAGTCATGTTGTCCTATTCTTGTTTCTTAATTTCTGCATTTAGTTGTATTCATTCATGGAGATACTTTTTTATCCTTTAGTAGCTTTTATCTTTGAAGCATGCCTCTGTGGCTTAGTGGAGTGTTTACTCTTTCAGTGAATATCCAGAGGTATGTGCTGGGTGAGTCCAGGAAGCTTGGTTCAGTGCTTCAGAGTAGGAAGAGGTGACACCCAAGTTGGGTGTGATAGATCTTTTCTACTTTTTTTTTTTAATCAGAGGGGAGGTTTTTATTACCTCTCTGTTGGCATAGTCTCACCCTCACTTACTCTCTGTCAAGGTGATCAATGGCTGAAATCTAACCCCAGTTGGTACAATATTCATCTATGATGTCACTCAAAGGATCTGTGCAGTCCTGTGTGAGCATGGATCCCCCACAGTGACCCATCCCAGGCAATCAGTGAGCCCTGATCAGGTGGACCATCCCACTGTGACTCCCCAGAGATGTAGCCACACCCTACACACTCCGCGCCCCCATGAAGCCAGTGTTTCTGCAGTCCTAGCACACAATGCTCCCACAGTGATAGGAGGCTGAGGATCCACTGCACCCTGACAGTCTGCCCTGTCCACAGAAAGGTGCAGACTCTCCCAGAGCCAGCTGCCTGTTGGTGCTTCACCTAGGCAGTTTGAACCCCAGAGCCTGTGATATATTGGGAGCCTGGGAGTACCTCACCATACTATTTGTGTGCCCAGTCCCTATCATTCCTCCCAGCCAGACTCAGATATCTCCTTTTGTGTTTTTCCTGGGCATATGATCACAAGCTGGAGCAGCTATTACATATGACAAAAATGCCCCCTGCCCTCTCGCAGCAAGTTGCAGGGCACAGTTGTTGGGGAGGGTGGAGAGAGAGAGAGTAATGTGCCCTTTTTCTTTTCTAGGCTGGCAGGTGCCTTGTTCCCCACAGGGTTCCAGGCTAGACTCACACCATGCTCTCCTAGCAGCTATATTGCCAGTGACCTGGGCTGCTGCAGTCTGGTTTCACCTCACTCTCCAAAGCTGGTGCTGAGGGTCTCAGATGCTGGGGTCCTATTTTGTGTCCATGTCCACACCATCCATGTAGAGCCACAGTATCCCTTTTCCTTTCTTGGAATTTCCATTGCATTTTTCTCCCTAAATCTTCCCTGAGATTACACTCTCTCCCACTTTTTTTTTTTTAAACTATCTTCCCCTAGCCAAGCGCAGTAAGCTCCATCCATATTCTGCCATCTTAGAATCTCTCTCCAATTTGTGTATTTATAATGTTTACATTTAGGGGTAGACATTTAGTCTAGCAGTTAAGACACCTGTATCACATATCATGCTTTCAGGTTTCAATACACAGCTCTGTATCTTGATTCCATCTTCCAATACAGAGACTGGGAGGCAGCAATGATACCTCAAGTAATTGATTTCCTACTATGTTCATGAGAGGCCTGGATTACATTTCTGGCTCCTGGATCTGGCCATAGTCCTATCCTGGTCATTGAGAGCAAGGGGGAGTGTCTCACAAATAAATACAAAATTTAGAGTTCTTAATTAGTTAAGGCTTAAGACTGCTATTTTATTTTTGTTTTCTTTCTGTTTGTTATTACAGTATTTATTTATTTCTCCATTTCTGATAGTTGTTGAATATATTTTAGAATGTCACTCCCACTTATGTATTTTTTTTCCCTTTTTTCTTTTTTCTTTTTTTTTGACAGGCAGAGTGGACAGTGAGAGAGGGAGAGACAGAAAGGTCTTCCTTAACCATTGGTTCACCCTCCAATGGCTGCTGTGTCTGGTGCACTGTTGCCAGCACACCGCACTGATCCGAAGCCAGGAGCCAGGTGCTTCTCCTGGTCTCCCATGCAGGTGCAGGGCCCAAGCACTTGGGCCATCCTCCACTGCCTTCCCAGGCCACAGCAGAGAGCTGGCCTGGAAGAGAGGCAACTGGGACAGAATCTGGTGCCCTGACCGGGACTAGAACCCAGTGTGCCAGCACCGAAGGGGGAGAATTAGCCTATTGAGCTTCGGCGCCAGCCCCACTTATGTAATATTTTTGTGTATATCTCCTTTTATTGAAACATACATACACATGTCTATTAGTATTCAAATTAAGTAAAGAAATCTTACCTCCTTTTGTGTTTCTTTAAATGTCTTATCAGCCGGCACCGCGGCTCACTAGGCTAATCCTCCGCCTAGCGGCGCCGGCACACCGGGTTCTAGTCCCGGTTGGGGGCCCCGGATTTCTGGTCCCGGTTGCCCCTTCTTTCCAGGCCCAGCCCTTTTGCTGTGGCCAGGGAAGGTGCAGTGGAGGATGGCCCAGGTGCTTGGGCCCTGCACCCCATGGGAGACCAGGAAAAGCACCTGGCTCCTGGCTCCTGCCATCGGATCAGCGCGGTGCGCCGGCCGCAGCGCGCCGGCCACGGCGGCCATTGGAGGGTGAACCAACGGCAAAAGGAAGACCTTTCTCTCTGTCTCTCTCACTGTCCACTCTGCCTGTCAAAAAAAAAAAAAAAAAGTCTTATCTTTTAGCTGACATTTTAATGTTACATTATATATTATATATTAAATATATTTTACATTATAAAATTGAGGCAATTTTATAATGCATTATATTATATAACTTTTTGCTTCAATTATCAGACACAATTCAGAAAACTCAAGATGATGAGAGAATATCATATTTACTCATCATTTTTTCTGTTGTTCTTCCTTCCTGATATTCCAAGATTTTTGGTTGATAAATTTCTTTCTATTGAGAAAATTTATTTTAGCCAGTCTTTTAGGGTAGTTTTAGTGGTGACAGCTCTCTTTGTTTTCCTTTATCTGAGACTACCACCATTCTTTAACCTTCATTCCTAAAGGATATGTTTGTTGCATATAGAAGTCTGGATTTGCAGTTATTTTATTTTAGCACTTGAAAAATATTGTGTCACTTCCTTTTGGCCTTCATGATTTCTGATGAGAAATTGGCTGTCACCTGAATTATTTTTCTCCTATAACGAAGGTGGCATTAATCTTTGCTTTTCAGATTTCTTCTATTTTGTGCTTTTCAGAGTTTGACTATTTATATACTTTTTTTGTGGATTTCTTTGGGATTTGCTGTTTGCAATCTGCTCAGCTTTTAGAATTTGTAAACTTATGTTTTCTTGATAAATTTGGGGATTTTTCAACTATTATTTATTTTATTATATTTTAAGCTCCCCTCCTTCCAGGATATTATGAATGCTAAGGATATTATATCTTTTGCTATGGTTTCAAATTTTCCTATTATTTTTTCTTTTATATTTTTGTTAAAATTGGTTCTTTTTTTTCCTAAAATATTTATTCATTTATTTATTCTATTGGCAGAGTGACAGAGAGAGTGAGTCTCCCTCTCTCTGTCTCTCTCTCTCTCAGATCTACACACACACACACACCCACACACACAGCAAGAGCAAGAAATATATATAGGGATCTTTCATCCACTAGTTTATTCATCAAATGGTCAAAATATTCAGAGTTGGGCTAGGGCAAAGCCAGGAGCCAGGAATTCATCATGTTTTCCAATGGGTGGCAGGTACCTAAGTCCTTGGGTCATCATCCACTGCATTCCTAGGAACATTAACAGGGAGCTGGATTGGAAGAACAGCAGCTGGAACCTGAACCTACACTTTGATATGAGATGCTAGCATTGTAAGTTGTCGCTTAATATGTTGTGCCACAATGCTAGTTCCATGTAGGTTATTTTTCTATTGATTTGTTTTCCAATTCACTATTTTTTTTTAAGGTAACAAGTTTTTGGTTTATTTCAAACATGTACATGTAACTTAAGAGTTTGAGGCTTGCTCTCTGGTTTGACTCTCATCTTACAGAACTGTTATACACAGACATCCCTTTTTCATCAGCTATTATGTGTTTTTTTTCACCCTGTAATTAATAAAAATTAGCACCTAACTCTCTATTAAACTATTTTTGGATACCTTTCAGGGTTACTGTATTTACTTTTCCTGCTGTCACATTTTGTACCCTAGTGCAAAAAAATAAAAGACCTCCTATTTCAGTGATCCAAAACTTAAGCATAATTAAGTGAACTGTTAATTTATTTTACTTTATCCGCAGAACACAGACCACCATTGGGAAACAAGAAAAAGCACCAAGTAAAAAGCCAATGAAAAAGAGAAAAAAGAAGAGAGCTGCTAATTAAAGCTAACATAGTTGTATATTTGTATATATAACTATTAGATGTATTTATTCAGTGCTAACAACCTGGGTATCATTTATTCACAAATCCCTAAGTTTTATTTTTTTAACATTAAAGTGAATGTTCTAGAGCTTTTTCTCTGAAAATTTTGTCATCTCAAAGCCTTATTCACCAACCTGTGTATGTGTAAAGTGTAAAAATTGATGATGAATAAAATAATCTGATAGGCTGCTGTGTGTGTACAAAGAAGAATGATTTTCATCGTACTGGTAAATAAGCACAGATTTATTGTGCAGAAATCGGCAGACTGATCCAGTTGCTTAGGAAAATGGATATTAGAACATTGAGGGTCTGTTTTCCTAAAGTCAACTTTTTAGAGAGTGGCTTTCCACTCCCCACTGTACTGTATAAGCCAGGTAACTTTTCTAAGAAATCTTGAAGTCAGGTTTTTATCTCAAATTAAATTTGACTTATAAAATTTTCCAAATCAATTTATTAATTCTTAATATCCTGACAGCTGGCATCATTAATACTTTTAACAAAACCACTTAAAATTAGCCAAATATCTATGATAGATACATGTACAAAAGATATACAAATTAAAACCATTTAAAAAGTAATAGATACCATAATTTGTTCTTGTCCATAACTTCTGTATTCAGAAATGATTGTAACATTCAAAACCCAAGATAAAAACTGTACACAATATACTTTGAGTGATTTACATCTTAGAAACAAATGCAGTCTTTCACTGTTAGACATTTAGTGTCTCTGGTGGGTTGAGGAGGGAAACACCATGATACTTTGAATTTTTGTACTTTTCTCTTATTGATTGTTGTGCATGCTGTGGTGCTTTGAGGTAGGTCTGGTGAAGGTCCATGAGACAAGGCTTAAGAGTCTCCAGAGTGTATCCAGTCTTTCGTACTAATGATTCAGGCCAGCTTTGTCCCGTGACTGTGTAGAGTGCTAAATGAAATGCTGCTCCAGCAATAACTGATGGCAGATACTTTAGGTATGGGTCAGCATCTATCAAACTTAATTCTCCCAAAAACATTGCTAAACTTTCGACTTTGCAGTTTGCAGGCTGCTGATGTAGAAAGTATTGGGTAAGAAACTGATTTACCGTTGGTGCAGCTAAGTCAAAAGCAAGGACTTTCAAAACTAGATGCTCCATTCTCAGAACTTGTTTCTTTGTATAGGTATCATCTGTAATGTATACAAACTCTGCTACTTCTGGTGGGTATATTTCTTCAAATTTTGAGGCTAGCAGCATAGCAGCAGTGCCCACAAGCTGAAGCTTTCCTCTCAACACAGACATTGAAGAAAGAAACCTATCGATGTAGTTCACCGCCAAATGCAGAGTCTCATTCTGTAGTTTATATTCCTCTCCTACTTCAACTAACCAGTCCACGAGGATAGCCCTCATACTGTTAGTGATGTCAGGCTGTTTCTTCATGTAACCCACTTTAGGTTTACATTTAACCTCCATTTCCCTAAGATATGTGTGAATATCCTCATGGTAGTCTGGGACTTCATTAACACTCACTGGCTTTTCATCTTCTAATACAATTGACATGTCCATAGTATATGGTGACTCGAAACTACCATCCATTGGATAATCAAGAGGTACCAGTGGTTTTCTTTGTCCAGGTAAAGTGATGGCTGAATTAAAAGCCAGGACATCTTCAGGCTTGTCTTTTTTAGATTCCGTGGGCCTCTTGGGAGGCTCCTCTTCTGCTTCATCCACATGAATGGTGAATGCAGGCTGTTTACTGTTTGCTTTCCAAGGAGGAACAGAGACCTGCTCATCATTTATAGGAAGATCCTTAAGAGGTGCAACCCGTCGCGTCTTGGGCCTCTGTTGTGGAACTGGACCCCGGGAGTTCCCAGCCTTCAGTACTGCCAGAGCAGCCTGGGCCCGCGGCTGCTGGGCGTGCACCGCCTTCTCGGGGTTGATGTTCTCCTGGTCCTCTAGGAGCGCCGAGCCCGCCTCGCGGGCCGCGGGCTTCGGCACGTTGTGGCCCAACATCGTTGCTCCAGGGGGCGGGCGGCGGGATCAGTCTGCCGAGCCAAGCAGCGTGCACACTCCGCCCAGTCGACCAGCGGCGCCGATCCCCGCCGAGGAACGCTCCAGCTGTAGCCCCTCGCCGCAGCCCGGGCCAGTCTGCCAGCCCTCCCGCTCGCTCCCCTGTCTCCGGACCGCGCAGGATCGAGGAGGTTGCGAGAGGCTCAGGCAAACGCTGCCGGGCGCGGAGGGCAAAAAAAAATCCAATTCACTATTGCTTCCTCTTTCTCTCCCATTCCACTGTTAAGCCCATTCATGGAGTTTTCAAAATATTAGTTATTGAATATTTTATTTCAAAATATATTTTCTTCTTTATATATTCTTTTCTTTGGCTAAAACTTTATGTTTTTTATATTTGTTCCAAGTATATTCATGATTATTGTGGAAGTATTTTTATTGTAGAGTCTACAAAATCCTTGTTAGACAACCCTGAGTGTCAACATCTTTAGATCATGTTTTCTCACTCTAATTGAGAATAGCCTAGTTTTCCTTTTAACATAAGTGATTATTAAAATTAAATTCTTGATATATTAGTGATTAATATTGTGAGACATTTGATCTCATTTAAATATTTGATATGGCAGGATCCTATGACGCTACTCCAATGGGGAAAGGACATCATCTTATTATCAGCAGCTTGGCCTCCATTGACACTGGGGAAGGGGTACTCTTTATAAGTGTGGGGCAGTAGTAGAAGACAAGACTCTCCACTATGTACCTACTAATACTACTCAGGCTGGATGTGGAAGAATTGCCTCGTTACTGATCCCCATGTGGCTTCTCTGACACTTTCAGGGGATGGTTTGCCTTGTTACTCTTAAGATTAGCCGAAGTCTTAACTCTGTATTTGGTCTTCTCAGACATCCATCCAGCAGGGAAGGAGAGGGGCACCTCAGAATCTCCATGTCAGATGAAATTCTAGGTCTTCAGTAACACTTTGTTTCTTCCCAGTAGAGGTGAAAGCCCGAGTGTTGCTGGTCTTCATTGATACCTCCCTGGCAGAAGGAGTGGATTGCCCTGTTAGAATTTGTTGAAAGTGGAAGTCTGGTTTCTTCACTTGGCTTTTGATGGTAGAGGTGCAGATATGGTCACAGAGTATTTGTGTTTTATTTTATTTAATGAACATAAATTTCCAAAGTACAGCTTATGGATTACAATAGCTTACCCCACCCCCATAACTTCCCTCCCACCCACAACACTCCCCTCTTCCACTCCCTCTCCCCTTCCATTCACATCAAGATTAATTTTCAATTATCTTTATATACAGAAGATCAATTTAGCATATATTAAATAAAGATTTCAACAGTTTGCACCCACACAGAAACACAAAGTGTAAAATACTATTTGAGTACTCATGCTAAAGCTGACTTGCCCCAAATGGTAGAGTTAGAAACATACCAGGGGATTCCAATTCAATCCCATCAAGGTGGCATGTACCAATGCCATCTCACTATTCCAAGTGATCAATTTCAGTTCACAATTGATCATAATGAAAGGACTAAGAGTCAAAGGGAGCACATAAACAAGTCTAGTACCTGCTAACACTAACCGATAGAATAAATAAAGGGGAGAGTGATCCAACATGGGAAGTGAGATACTCAGCAGACTCATAGAATGGCAGATGTCCTAAATAGCACTCTGGCCTCAGAATCAGCCCTAAAGGCATTCAGATCTGGCTGAAAAGCCCATGAGAGTATTTCAGGCATGGAAAGCCAAGACACTCTGGCAAAAGATCTCTGTGAGTGAGATCCCAGTGGAAAGAACAGGTCATCAAAGAAGGAGGTACCTTTCTCTGAAGGGAGGAGAGAACCTCCACTTTGACTATGACCTTGTCTAAACAAGATTAGAGTCGGAGAACTCAGAGGGCTTCCATAGCCTTGGAAACTCATGACCGGAGCATAGGGAGATTACTGATGCCATAGACAGGAGTGTCAATTGGTAAAGTCAACAACAGGAGTCACTGTGCACTTACTCCTCATGTAGGATCTCTGTCCTTAATGTGCTGTGTATTGAGATTTAATGCTATAATGAGTACTCAAACAATATATTTCACTTTGTGTTTCTATGGGGGTGCAAACTGTTGAAATCTTTACTTAATGCATACTAAACTGATCCTCTGTAAAAAAAAAAAGAAATTATCAATTCCCAACTTGACTCTCACTGGGATTAAACATGACAATAGGTCTGATCTGATTTCATCATCATTTTAAAAAATTCATCTATTATTTTTCACTTTATGTTTCTGTGTGGGAGCAAACTGTTGAAATCCTTACTTAATGTATACTAAGCTGATCTTCTGTATATTAAGATAATCGAAAATGAATCTTGATGTGAATGGAAGGGGAGAGGGAGTGGGAAAGGGGAGGGTTGTGGGTGGGAGGGACGGTATGTGGGGGAAGCCATTATAATCCATAAGTCGTACTTTGGAAATTTATATTCATTAAATAAAAGTTTAAAAAAATACTAATTGAGTACTAGTTATAGCATTAATTAAACACCTAAGAGTAATTGTGTATTAATTATAGAGTTCAACCAATATATTTAAGTAG